AATTTAATTTGTTCTATACCACAATTATTAATAATTAATTCTTGAAGAAATGGAAGTAAACCTAATCGATTAATAAATGGATCCCATTCTATTAATCTTTGATTATCTGATAATGATAAATTAGTTACATTTTTTATTTTATTAATAAAATTTTCTAATATAAAAGTTAAATGATTTAAATCTAAATGAATATCAATTAAATTTGGAAAATATTTTAAAATATATTTAAATAAAAGATAATCATTATCTATATCAATAAGAACAATTTGTTTTATATTAATAAATTCATTTGATCAATTTAAATCGAAATTGATTCGAGAATTACTAACATTTAAGATTTCTAATTTGGGAAAATATTTTTCTAAAATAATCCATAATTGAGACCAATTTTTAATTAAATTTTGACGAATATTAAGTTCGTTTATTTGAGAAAGATTTATATATATATATATAATGATTAACATCAAATTTATTTATTGATTGAGATGATAAATCAATAACATGATCATTATATTGTTTACTTAAATTTTAAACAAAATAGTTTTATCATATTAATTGTTTGATTAATTGAAAATTTTAATTGTTAATAAAAAGAAAATAAAATAGACAGATTACTAATAAAAAAAAATCAATTGATTGTTCAAATTGCAATTGAATGTGTCAGTTAGGTATAAATCAATTTTCAGAGCTTATCTTTTATCTTATAACTTAAACTTAAATATTCGTAGAGCGATAGTAATAAACAATAAGAATTCATCCTTAAAAGTTAAAATCGTTTGATTCTCTTTTATATTGAAAAACAAACATCAAATAACCTGATTTATATTAATTGTACGTATAAAAGAAATTCTCTTTAGCCAAATATTAATATAAAAATAACGAATGTAGTTTCGAATATATAATAAAAGAAACATTTTTTGCTAATCCATGTTTATCTGAAAAATTTAAGAGGCTATATGTCATCTTGATGCAGACGGCTGTAACTTGGACGAGAAAATCTCCATAAACTGACCAATGAACGATATTTTCTTAGGTATTTCATGATGCATAAGCGGTTCGTCGCCTGTACATCTTCATAATGCATAGGTGGCATCGCCACTAGAAACCTGTGGATCCACATTTTTGTGGACTCGAGCAGGGAAAAGATTAGAAACTTGGATCCGGACCCGACTGGATCCATTCCCAAAGTTTTTTTCCATCGATATTTGGCACTCTCCGTGCGCATAAACAAACGAAATACTAAGGTTCTAGTTAATTAGTCGCTGCTGCCACAGAAAAATTCAAGGTTCAGTTATATCGTATTGTTGTATTTCTCATCTAGGGAAGTGGCGGGTCCATAAAGACGTGTAACCGGGTTCGACAACAAAATAACATATTAGACTCGAACCCAATCCGGTTCGAGGCCAGATCTGGAGGTATCCGCAGCTCTTTAACCTTCGTGCCTTTTTACATCTGATGATACGAGCGCGTTTTATGTATATAATCGCATGGATGAATCGTCAATCGAATACAAAGGAATTTTATACATCGACTGCATCTTTGTTTGTTGTTTATAAATAGAATAACCTTCTTTGTTATTGTGCTATGAGGGTAAAAAATGGGTCTGACAAAAGTAAATTATTATATTAATATAACTTTTATTTCAGATAAAGATCCAACTTTTGTCATGCGGTACGTTCAGATCATTGATCATATTGATTGAAGAAAGAAATATGAGCAGACAGAGAGCTCTTAAACCAAGAAAAGAGGTATCATAGAAAAGAAACAAGTTCGAATTATATTTCTATTCGACCATTGTTGTTAGTAGGCGTCGATCGTTCTAACACATATAGAAAGCAATGGGAGCACGAGCATATGTTGTTTTTTTTTGTAATGGGAAATTTTTTTTCGAATGAAAAAATTGTTTTAAAATAAAAAAAATGTTAAACATTTTATTTTTAAAATTTAATTTAAAAAAAAAAAGAAGAAAAGGAAAGATTGATTTAGTTATTGTTAAATAGTTTCAATTCTGATAATGGAAGGTCGATCGATATTGTCATTAAGAAAAGAATTTCCTAAATAGAATTGAAGATCTTGATAATCATTTGACATAAGTTCTTTATGTTTTTTATCAATAACAACAAATAAATTAAATTGAATATCATTTGTTAATTGTGATGGAAATAATTTTCGAACAAATGTTTTTAATTTTGCTATTGTCATTGATGATGGAATTTTTTTTTCAATTTTTATTTCATTTTCATCACCAAATTCAAATATAACTTTTAATAAATCTCGACGAATACAAAGACCTTTTTTTGATTCCTAAAATAAGAAAATATTCAATTTTATCATTTGTATTTTCCAATCATATTTAAATAAAACTATCAAAGTAATATATTCAACTGTCAAATTGATTTTCGACTGATAAGATCTTTATTTGATGAGATTTAATGAGTTATAGAAAAGTCTAGAATGATTTTCATTTCCAACTATTAGCTTTTCAGATATTGAAATCTGATCGGGTTTTTCAACAAAAACCTCTGCTCCGTTTGACTTCAACCGGAAAATTGACTTTGTTGAAAAGCCTAGTCAACTTTCAATATATCGAAAATGAACACTCTTACTCACCAAATCAATGTCGTCTCGATCGAAAAGCGATTTGACGGCTAGAGACGTTTTATAATTAAATTTTATCTATAATTTTTGCTTTTTTTTTGCCTTTCGTGTAAACGTTTGTTTGATGAATTTATATAAATTATGTTATATTAAATAATTATAAAACAGATGTACCTTTTTTGATACTTTAGGCGCCAAAGGGTTAAAGAGTCTCAATATAAAACTTATTACGTTTTTTATTATTATTTAATTTAATTTAATTTAATTTAGATAAGACAATCAACTTATTTATAAATAGAAAATAATTGATTGATTCAATGAAAAAAAAAACTATTTTTATTTAGATAAATCTATAAATATATTTATTTCTATTGAAATAAAATGTTTAACCTGATTTTTATTTGGTTTTAAAGGTTCACCATATTTATTAATTAATCTTTGATATTGTCTATGTTCATTAATAAAATCTAATTTATTATCAAAATAATCTTGAGCATAACGTTGTAAATAATCAATTTCAGCTCCACGTCTTTCATCATGACTAATTAAAACTCGATTTAAATATGTTAAATTAGGTAAACGAGCTATAATCATTTGTTTAGCTGTTTCATTTTCAAATTGATTTAATCCATATATTGGATTTCGAAGTATACTGAATGATATTAATGATGATATACGACTTAATTCATTTATTGATGAATATGAACTTATTTTATTATCAGACATATAAAGATACTTTAATGATTGAAATAATTCA